AAATAAATTACTGTTATACTTGCACCCAACTCTAACATTTTAGTRWCTAAAAAATCTGATCTGTCCGCAACAGATGCATATATATGTTATATATATACAGGATGGTTCATTTAACGTAAAACCTAATTTTTTTCTTTTCAAATAACGTTTTTAATGGCATTGCGCATTTGTAATTGCTTACTACAGCAGAACAGCACTTCAAGCAGTACCTACTCCGATGTATGCAAATCGAATTTCGGACGATTAGCTTACGAGTAAGGTATAAGTAGATATTTAATTTTTGATGTGGTGTAGTGGAGTGATACAATAGGGYTGACWGAAAAATATTGGTCCATTACTACTCTCATCTAAATTGTAAATATACCTATAATACTTACATATACCTAATAAATTACTTGTCCGAAATTTTATTTGTTTTAATCGAAATACTTCAATACTTGGGTAATATTCTGCTTCAGGATAAAAAAAAAAACAAATGTATATATGGTTTTTTCTAGGATCACTTGCAGTACAATATAATTTAATACCATCCTATTCAATTATTTGTATTCAAATATACATTATATTATATTAATATACTTTTTCTTTGTGTACTGTTCAAACAAAAAATAACAAAATATAGTCCGCGCGCCTTTTGTGTTCGTATTGTACGATTCTCATCATTTATTCATATCAGGTTTAGATTTTCAGACRAACGCATAATTATTTTTATATTATAATCAGCGTCGGATTTCCCATATGGTTTACGCTTAATCGAGTAATCTAAGGCATCGCTGCAATACATACAAAATCTGAAAGAAATAACTGATTATTTGTGGCGGTTTGGGGGTAGTTGARTTGAGATTTGAGTGTAGTCAGTATATATACGTCAAATGTTTGAAGTGTGGTCAACGTCTTATTATCATCCCTTAAGTATTCTCGAGGCAGAATACTTGTGGGGTTATAGATTAGGTTATTAGGTTAGTCCCTGGAATCTTCGGAGAGGCGTCGTATAATTTTCAACACTGATTAAAACTGCACCCCTCAGAAACAATTATTATTAATGTTACTAGTTTATGCGATTCATTTAGCCGCATCATAAAATTATTAGATATYGTGATTGTTCAAAGTTTACCTCTCAAAATGTCGTTCGATTGTGTGAATTTGTCAAAAAAAATATGCATAATAATTAATATTGCATAATATGCATATAGTGCATAATACCTGAGTTTTTACTTTTTAATTTTGTGAATTTTCAAAACCATCATAGGTACTCGAGTTATGATATAAATACTAATTATTATTATTTCATCGCGTTACGATAATGCTAGTCGTAATATGTTAATAATGATAATATAAGTACGTAGGTATAATTATACCGTCACACGTAGTATAATTATATATGTTTTTCTGTTAATGTCCGCAATTGGTGAATGTTGACAGTCATCAGGCGAATGTGTTAACATACACCTAATAAATTGGCGAATGTTGAAAAATTAAAATAATACTGACATTTACGTTAGAATTTTGGTCAATGTTGACATACACAGCAAAGTTTTGGTTAATGTTGACATAGGTAGGTTCGTATTCGCACATATAATATTATAGTATTATAGTATTATATAGAATATATCATATATCATAAAATAGAAACGACATATTATGTTTAATTAAATCAAAAAATTATTATTATATTTGTATTATTATAMGGTATTTAAATTATGATTATTTTATATTATTATTTATTACATCATTACTAACTGTCATGACAAAATGTACTACATAAAATCGCAACATTTCCACAGCTACACTTTTTTGTAGGTATAATTTTTTATCTAGATATAATAAGAGTAGTTGGGTAAGGTAATAAAACATTTTATCGAAATTATCAACTTGTACAATACTTTATACTGCATATAGGTAGGTACTAGATAGTAGATACTAGATAGTATATGTAACAAAACATTTTATCAAAATTATCAATTTGTACAATACCTTTAACTGCAGCATAGGTACTATAGATAGTATAAGATACTATTTTTGAATTGCGACCATTCCGTTATTCCTAAATTAGATTAAATAATATCGGAATTACCAATATTCACCAATATCAATGTCGACASTCACTAGTGAACGTTTACTAAAATTTTAACAAACTTTGAAAATTGTTCAAAAACCAATGATGTAACCAAATTAAAAGTTTTATACGCCAAAATTGTTTTTAAATACTTATTTATAAAATAGCCATCTTGGATTAAAAGAAAAAAAATTAAATTATTAAATTTTAGTAGTAAAACAATAAAATAAAATATAACATAATAATTATAAAGCAGAGCTCTAGAAATCATAACAAAAAAAAAAAACCATTGGATGGGAAAAAAGTGATAGCATATTAGTCAAATAAACCTTTGTATGGTCAACGAATACTGACTTATAAGTGTATTTAATGGCATATGATGCAATTATACGAACAATTAAAAATTCAAATTTAATAAGATTTTTAAATTGTACCTATAGCTCCAATTTAGTCAATTCATATGATTTTATACAACAAAATAGGTTGATTCATTAAAATGTMATGGAAAAATCGATCAATCCAAAAATGAGATTTAAAATGGGGGTAGCCACTTTAAAAAAATGAAGCTTTGTTGCGTGTGCGTAAAATACATGAATTAAAAAAATTTGAAGTCATATAGGAATTTTTTATTGATCATTCTATAGTTTAATGTCCCGCAAACAGAATTGAAAGATATTTGCACAGGGTAATGAGTGATAAAGTGTACCCAGTTTTTTGGGACACGCGGTTTAATCAATGTCATTACGCACCATCATAAAACCATAATTATTATTATTTTTCATATTTCGCTTTGTTCTTTTGCTATATTATATTATGTATAATATATGTGTAAAATTGTTGTCTTGTTATTATATAATTTTCGAAGGTTGTACGTGAGATCGTAATCGAGCCGTTTGTACCATCATCATCGCCATCGCGTGTGTGAGTGTTCGCGTACACAGTCTGCAGTGTACGTCTTGSTCGAAATTCGACTTCAACCTTGAAACTATGATAGACACGGTCCTTTTTTTCACGTGGAATACAAAAACAACGCAATTACTATGACTGATAACCCATCATTTACTCAAAGTCAGAAAAAATCAATCATTCAACTTCGTATATAWTATATTATAATATATTAAATAGGTATAGTCTCTGTTTTCGGATCATCTTTATTTCCCTAGCATCGATGGCGTCTTTTTTTTTTTTTGTCTTCTGTTAGACGCTATAAAAACGACGAGTGTAGGAATATATAATTATACCTGCAGGTACTTGTTTCGAAATTAATTTTAACTAACCTGCAATTCGTTTTCAAATCTATTTTTAAAGCATTCGTTTACATCAATTATGGGTATATTATTATATTTATTATCGAAAATTGTTGCACGCAGATTGTTCTACTCGTTTGCATACGCTGAACACTACATCACTATACTCTCGAATCGTATATGATGTACCTACGCCTGTCCCAGATGTAACGCATCTGCCTAATAYGGTTGTCAGAATAAACATATTTTATCCTGTGATAATAAAATATTACCTCAAAATAATAACAATAATAATAATAAGCAATAGAACTTTTATGTTTCAAACCTGCRGCACTGCTGCAGTTGTACATTTTTATCCGAAGCTYATTTTTGTTGGAACATAATTATTACATAAACACTAAGAATAATGTGTTATWCAATAAATATATACATATATAGGTTATATATAAACTCGTTTCCCGCGTTATTGATACATTTATATTGCTTAAGAATTTAAACTTATACGTTTTATACTGTGTGAAATATATTCAAAACTTAAAGCTCATCTATACATTTTTTTTATCTAAATTTATCGTGTGCGATGAAACATCTTTGTACATTTTTTTTTTTTTATATCATAATATCTTTGCACGCATTACAAAGCTTCACTGTATTGATATATTTATAGACGAGTGCAGCTATTAACGAATTTTGATTCGTGGTTGATAAATTAATATATATATATATAAAATATTATATGCATTATATTTTATTTGAAGCGGAAAAAAATAAAAATCAATACTTTTGAAAACTGAGGGTTGTGTTTTTTTTTTAGAAAGTTGAAAAATAAACTTTGTTCAAAACTTATGGCTCAACTGTATATATTATTACGTAAAAATGTAAAATAAAGTTTTCGACATTTGTACGATGATAAGAATTTTATTTGCATATAAGATAGGATGGTGATGTAAACTTTAGATRACACATTCATTTCGAGAGAAAAATATATACCTAATAATATTCAAAATTATTTACATATCCGTTGCTTTGATTAATATTCTAATTTGAAAAAGTTGCATAATGATTTACTACACAGGATGGTCGTCAAAGTTTTTCATTACATTATAGACATGTCTTAAGGATTAAAATGATAAATTGATAACCATATAGAAAAGACATCCGGCAGATTTATAAACGTATATAATAATAATATTTATATTTTATATGTGTGTGCGCACGCGCTCGTGTGTATTGCTATTTGTATCTATATTGCTAAATATAAAATTATATGAAATTATAAAGATGATTGAATTTTATTGATTTTTTTACGATTTTTAATATTCATTTCTTACGCGTATATTTCTTATAATATTATGTTATAAGTGTTATTAATTTTTTGTTTTTCATTTATCTAACGGAATTCGACATTTCCTCAGACAGACTATATACATATTCCGTTTTAATAGTTTTTCCCGTTTTAATKAACATATTTTAGGTTGTACATAATAATATACTAAAACCCTACACATAAAAGTGGTCTAAAAGTGCTTAAATAAGCGTATTATATAATTTTGTTCGGTTTAATGTTTTTTTTTTTTTTTAATCCCATTAAACAAGGCCGAGTATTATATTATGACTGTTATGTGGATAGTCATGCAATTCATTATTTTATTACGGGCGAAATAACGGATGTTCATAAATTGATGTTTTGTTTTCAGTATCCGCCGAAGTCACACGATGAAATCAATATCATGTTGGAAAATGTCAGTAAAGGCGCCACTGATATGGTGTTAAAGCTTTTGGAAACGAATCAGCAATACCGACTTAAATCCTTTCATCAGATTAAAATCCAGTCATTTTTTCATAATTTTAATTTCTCAGACATAACATTAAAAAAGGTTGGTATTTACACGTGTGTTTTTTATGTGTCTGATGTTCTTGTTTTCTTGTTTGTAATAATATATTTAGTAATAATATTATTTAATTATAATTTCCAGCACAAACCAAACGAATTACTAAAAAAACTGTTTGACGAAACAACTACAGGAAACAATCAAGTGTTATCTCATTTTGACGAATTTGACGATTAATTTATGAGATAAATAATTATATGTAACAAACAGTGTATTAAATAYTATAATCTTTTTAGTTAAGTACCTATAAAATTGTTATGTATATTAATACGTTATTAATTTTTTTTTCATCATGAAAGTTGTGTTAAGTACCTATCGTTTTTTTTTCGTTGTTCTCGAAAACACAGATATTTGATGAAATACCAAAGATGTTAAAAAATAATATWTAATATATATTGTTAATTGTGCCTTTTAATAATAATTTATATTGCATTTAATTTACTGCGGTCTACATTTTGAGATATTATAAAAAACTTTTGCTTACGTTAAATGTTTATAAATTATAACACCATCATGTTACATCGATATACATGTATAGGTCCATCGCTATAGGGCACAAGCAAGGTGCTCTAGGGTGGCACACAATTTTAGGTAAATCAAAGGCCACAAAATTCAACAAATATCGGTGAAGAAAAGTGACGTGTTAATATTTTCGCTTTATTGCGAAAAACATCTAATGACGGGCCTAGCTGGCTCTATGTGTATTCGTTCTATCGTCGTCCATATAATATAGTTATGAATAGGGCCTTGATTTAAATGCACTCGAAACCATACAAATATGCTCTAAAAAATTGCCAAAAATGTAATTTAAATTTTTTTATACAATTTGGTATTTTAATTTGGAATTTATTGTTAAAATATTTTTAATATTTATGTTACTAAAAAAAATTGGAAAAATTGACTTGATGCTATGATGTTAACACGCGTATGTTTTGGGGCAATATTATTCTTTCTAAACATAAATACTAAAATACATATTAATAAATACACTAAATTTGTATAATACCTATATTGGATATATGTGTATGCATTAAAAACTATAAAAAATGACCCAATGATCCTGAGATAAAAAAAAAAAAACGCCGAAATATGGAAAAATAAAATTTTTATCTTTGAAACAATCGTTACACGAAACGAATTATATACTTGGAAAGCGTTGTCTATGATCAACTAAAAAAAAAAATGCACTTTGCATTGGAATCCGGGCCCTAGTTATGAGATATTATTAATTTATCCATCGTATATCTAAAAAAAATAAATCCAATTAATATGATATAAATTTTATATGTTTGTCGAGTGTTTGTGCTCATAATCGGATATAATATTGTAACAAATTGAATAGGTAACCGAGATTTTAGTTATTCGTATATCTATTGTCTACACATGACACTCATCAGATGTCAATGATCTCAAAACGTTTAAACAAGTTCGAATATTTAGACGACTTGAAAAGAGCTCCAGAAAATATGAATATATAAGATAGGTATATGAGATGATAGATGATGGAATTTATAACTATCCAGCTGAAATTAAATCGACATACACGACACAGCAGCGAGACTGTAGGTAATCAATTTAGGTCAATCTTGAATGTCACATCTGAATAAACTGACCCACCCAAGGCAAAACAACATTTTATAAAACAGTTACAATATCTGAATATTTTTTATTACCATATAGTACCGCACGAACGTATAATTAAATACACTCATTCGTGTGTACCTAAACAATAAACATATAATATATTATACACATTTATGATACACAACGAACACCAAAAAAATAGAATTTACATAGATTATTTTTCATTGAACCTAATAATAAACAACAAACGGCTGTGACCAAATTAGATGTGATAGGTACAGACGATGTCTATTATATATTTATATACCTAATGATAATTTTTTTATTTTTTTTTCAAAAACCACAGAATTATTTTAATACATACAACAACGCGTTTTTTAACAACCACACTGGTACACTTTCAACTGAAATATATTTTTTTTTTATTGATCATATAAACTCGGCAACTATGACCATTAGTTAAAATTTAAATTAAGTTATGGTATTTACAGTTTTAACAAATATTTTTCTCTTTTAAATAGTACAAAATTAAAAGTAAAATATGATTAAAAATCGTATCCACGAATGKTTTACATATATTGTTTTTAGATTAGATTGCAGTAAAGATCTGTCGCTTTCGAAAATTGCATCATCTRACTATATTCTCCTCGGCGCGGTGTAAGGCCTCAGTGCAACGTCGAGGTTCCTGTCCAGCCCGTTGATTTGTCGATATYTTTCGCATTCATTTGTGTTTTACTGTTAGTTGGACTCCAGCTGATATATTATTATGTGCGTTGATGTATGTTATCCTGTTCGAGTCATGTGACTGTTCTAAGGTGATATTTGTTCTGCGTACTTTTACCTATATAATGTATATATAATATGTTATAAACACTTGGAAAATTTTACCATAGGTATCAAGCGCCAGCTCTGCAGATCAATCGAATTCGGTTGACTCGTAGAGGAGATGCAAGTGGGACAGTATGGTACTGATAATTATTTAAATCTGCAGCTATGGTATTATAGTGTACGATTGGTGCCTTACTGCATTATATTTATACGACGTTTCCTGTTGACATTACAGATACGTTACATTAAACCGCGGGTACTGAGTGCATGTGCTGCAGTAATAGTAAACTGAGCAAAGAAAGTGAGAGAGATTATTGCGGGAAACGAAACTGCCGTGGGATTTGTAAMTGCAACTTAACATTTCTAAAAGAAAAATACAATATTAAGCGTAAAAAGTTAATTCTAATATAGCTAAGGAATCGAATCGATATAAGAAATGTGTCACAAATTACCGTTTCGTGATTGTGTATAATATTAAATTACGTAAGTACCTACGGGTGTTTGACACAAACATTATAAATTAAATGTAATTTCTGTAGTTTTTCACCATGGAGGCAAACATTTACAGTCGTCAATCTCTATTTATAGGCAAGTCGTAGGGTTTATTAGGAATTGCAGACTACTTCTATTAGTTAAATACTCGATAACGCGTTTTACTTATATTAAGGACCACGACGATACCACTTTATTACCATCGGATAAATGATTATTTCATGGTTGGACGGCGTTCGATTCTTATAAGAAAAAAATTGGCATTAATTCGGTTTAAAAGCATCAGAAATATAATTGCGTTATTCGCGAATATAATAATATGATTTAAACGGGACAGACATCATTCAAGAAAATTAGAATCCAAAAGAATACGAAATAAAATTATGATCCAACTATTCTGAGTCATTCAAAATTTCAAACCACACTTTTGCGTATGATATTTAAAATATATAGGTAATCATATCATAGAACGTATAGGTAATAACTATATAATAACTTTTTAATAACTTATAAAAACGATGAATAGCAATTTGCTTACATACAATTTTCTTATTTGATGGATTATGTTTTTTTTAATAATTGTAAAGGTATCTTATTATAATTATAATTAATAATACGAATAAAGCCTCGATGGCGTGACCATTGCATGGCTTTTTAACATATTATGGTACTTAAATATTTAAAACTAGATTGCACAATTTAATAKTTTTCATAGATAATAATATAGGATGTAAAGGTATCTGTTAACGTTGGTATTTTCAAACAATTTAAAGGTGAAAATTGTAATTAAATAGGAAAACTATAGAGATAATAATATGTGATTCATACTATTTATTATTGTTGGGAAATTATCTGTACGTAAGCTGTTGTGTATACATATTTTCCGTACATAAAGACTATTATTAAAAGTGTATACTAAAATAATATGTACCTAATATAATGAATTGTAATGATGAAAAAAAAATCAAAAGTATAATTTATATTTATATTAATTTAATTTTAATTTTTGAAAATGTTTAAACTTTTTTTTTGTCTAACTTTTAAAGTTATAAATATGGATTAATTTTTTCAATTCTATCTTATTAATTTTATTTTTTTTTAAAAGACCACCTACATTTAATAACTATGTCAACATTGTCAACAAATCATAAAGCCATCTTTTCCAATTAAAAAAATCCAATTTGTTTGTTCAGACGATGCCGTATATCAATATCAATTAATATTTTCTGTAAAATAACTGAGGTTTGCGAAAACATTATCACAATGGCCGTGGAACAGCAATCATGTAACTTATTATATCCACTACATGAATGTCTGAATCACTGCACATTATTACTAAACATAATACGTCGTATGAAATGTATACAAATAAGTGTTCCGCGTTTGTCTTTCTATATACACATTATCACCAGTTACCAGTTATTACTGCATATGACGTACCGCAATATGTCGCATACAATAATATGTGATATTTTTATAAAAATTGAATTAAATACGTATTATTTATTAAATAATCGACTTTAAAAAAAATTTCGGAACATGAATATTAATTGCGGTTAGAATTTCATGTTGGCAAAAAAAAAGTCATAAAAAAATGTGTTATCTGTGCGTTAACTATAATCAAAAGAATCGCTCGGATGTTGATAATAATGATAATAAATCTCTTCCTCGTTTCCGACTTCATTTAATTAATCATGACGATATATTGTTTCGTTAATCGTGAAGCTTTTCTGTTGAAAGGAAAGCTTAAATATATGTGGCGACTCTATTGGGGAGAGACACGATATATATATATATATATATATACATATTATAGGTATAATTAATTATATAGATAAATATGGCTTGCTCTTTTAAATTCTTTGCTTCTATTCACGCGAGCGCTGTTTAAAATATTAGGATTCAGCCGATTTAAGAACAAAATAAAAGTTTTAATTTCCAAAGGGTACCTACAGTAAAATATCTAAAAATATTTTTATTTCATTTTTTTTAATGTAATAATGTAATATCCTCCATCCACTTTGGGTGTACGGAGTAGTAATATGGAATTATGCTTCAAAAATCCAATAAAAGAACTTAAAGAACTATTCAAGCGTTCCAAAATATCTGCGGTCGCATAGTCACTGGAGCGCCCTGCAGGTATATCTCCGACAATGCATTAAAATCTGACCTAAAAATCTGCCCTGTCAACGAAACTGCTACCCTACACACTAAATATATATATATACAAACGTTTCCATGCATCACTACAATCCAACCCCAACCAGCTCATCGTGAATGGTCTTGCCATACCAGAACTACCCGGAAACCCAGCCAGACGACTCAAGCTATTATACATATAGGCTTGGGGTGTTTACGAGCCAA